ACTTTTATCCCCAATTGTCATTACGTTGCTAAATTGTAGACAGCGTTCCAAATCCTGAAACCGTTGGTGTATGAGATAATTTTATCTGTAAAACAGAGTAAATCCGTTCATTTTAGCTGTATTTTGCTTCGTCAATTACCGTTTACATTTCATCGGTCTCTCCCTCTGATTTAACAACTCCGTCGCTTGATCCACTTCTGTCAGTTTTCAAGAAACATTTGCCGTCCATTGCGAACGTAAAAAGTTTGCCGCCACGACACACTTAAACGTTTATGAAAAACAAAACGTGAAACCTATCTGGAACATATTCTTACCCCGCAGACTTAACACACACAATTCCGAAGATTCTGCGTTGTTCACCTCCGTTATAGCTTTTCTCTGAACTTGTGCGAGAACTTCTATTTGCACTACTTGTGAATGCAAACTTCACAAAACGTTTTACTCCTTCCGAAACAGCAGATGCGGTCGGGTTATGACTTCCCAGGTAACGAAGAATGAAAGCTAGGAAGCGGGGCTGAGGGAACTCTGACCGCGAGATGCAGTCGGGCTATGCCTTCTCAGGTAAAGAAACGCGAAAGGAGATTAGCTGGGAAGGGAGTGAGAGGAAACCTGGTCGCGAGATGCAGTCGGGCTATGCTTTCTCAGCTAACGAATTGTGAAAGAGGATTAGCTGGGAAGCGGGGGCGAGGGCAAACCGACTGCGGGATGCAGTCGGGCGATTGCTGATGCAGGCGGTCGGCGCGGAGTCTGCCGGTTAAAGCGTGAAATGAGATTAATAGCGGCGCACCATGGGGCCGGTTGCTCATTACGGGGGCCTTAATGGACAGCCACCGGTCAGCACTACCTTTCCCCTCCCTCCCCCTGTTCCCACACACTGTGCGGAGATGAGCGTGAAATGGGGATCTCGGAGGCTGCCACGCGAACGGAAGGAAAATGTTTCATTTTTCAATCTTTTTTTTAAATTTATTTATTAGAGTATTTTCAGGCAGAGACCACTTACCCTCTTCACCTCCATACTAGGGCGGTCTCCACAAGAAGAAGCTGTGGAAGTTTTAACTCCTTGAATATTTTCAGGATTAAAATAATTTTTAAACAAATAAGAGCTTTGAAATTTCAGAGTAGTGACAAATATATGTAAAGAAAATATATTTTCTTTAATTTGAACATGCCGTTCTTCCCACCCTTGGCGCGTGGTTAAGAATGGTTGCGCGTGGTTGAGACTAAGGAGCGCTAGATGGAATGAGTGGTACGATTGTTGGAAGATATTTAAATACGCATGAGTATAGCTTCAAAAATTATAAGAAAGACACATTGTAACTGAAATAAATGGTGTAAACAGTGAAGCGGTTAGTTAGCCTTAATTGTCGTTTCTCTATTTACAGGGAAACAAATTTAGCTAATCATTAACCTGTCTTATAAAACAACAATTATTTTAATTATTATTATTATAATTGCCTTATATATATATACACAACTGTCGGCTTCACGCCAATCTCAAATACGACGGACTGACGTGCGGGTTATTTTGTGCTTTGAAAAATGTAGTCATATAATTGAATTATTTGTAAACCTATTTAACTGCATTAAAAATTAACGTATCTATAAATAGTATTTCAACTGTTGTTTGAGGGGTTTAATTTAAAGTTTTTCTAATTAAAAAAGAACTAGTTAAACGATGAATAAAACAATCGATTATATGTTTCATTTACAAACTCTTCATACAAACTGACGGAAAAGTATAAATTAATTAGTTATTAACGTAATTAAATTGAATGTTTTTTTAAATGCCTCCTCTTTAAATATTATTTCAAATCGCCCTTACCCCATCATGTTGCCTCTGGAACCAAATGCTAAACTACTAACTACAGCATCTCCTGCACTACAACATTCCATGTCTTTCGGCTTGTGTATTCTGCGACACTTGCATACGGTCGGAGTTTTGTTTTAGGATTAGGAAGATATATCTTATTAAAACGGGGAATTTCCAATTCGTGAAGATGGGAATGAGCATAGTGTGTGGAGGAAGGATCGCATGCGGTTAGTAGTCCATTGGTTGAGGTTCTGATCCGACATCCGCGCGAAACTGGACGGAGAAAACCGCAGAAATGACAATTCAGAGAAACAGCTTCATGAAAGCAGTCGCCCAAGAATCTGGGTAGATGTCGAAATCCCTGCCACTGGTGAGTCTGGAATCTATGACGTTCCAATCAATGCAACTTCAGTTGCGAACGTGCAACTACATAACTTTCGCTGCCAATTGGGTCGCTCACGAAGGAAGCTTATTCTGAGAGGCTGCAGATTTTAAAATTCTTATATAGGAATCGAGTAACCTCCGTAGTCTGTCTGTCTGTCCGTCCATCCGTCACGATTACTACAATACCAATCGAAAAAAATGAGATGTCATTGGGACTTACGACACATACAGAGATGTTCAATATTTCCATCATTCGATTCCTTTAGACAAGACCAATTGATTGTCGCAATTCTTCGTCGGTTCTCTGTAGGATATTCTGGAAGAATTCTAGGAGAATATACCCTTTTAAAGGTTTCAACTATGAAACATTGGTGAAACGCTGTTTTACTATTTATTCTCGTTACGACATTTTCATGAACTGTTACGATTTGATTTATCAGATTGACGATCATTAAACGTAATTTTGTAATAAAAGAAACAAATTAAACACGTATTTTAATCGCTTTTCATGAAACTTTCTATGCCCAAAAATCGACGAGCCGGAAAACTATAATATGTTGAAGTTTATTTTCATTATGAACTAGGAAAACATAAATGAAACTTTTTAAAATGAAATTACCCACCGGAGATGCCGCAATAAGCTAGTTTACAGTAAAGTTTTGAGAGGAGATAGGTGTGGAAATACCAGCAAAAAGAAATGAAGCGCAGACTTTCCCGTGTGCGAAGTAATTTGTTTGAAAATACAGGTGTTACACAGCAACCGCGAACAATGAAGTAGTGTTTGCGGTTGCAATCCTTATTGCTTCATTCTCACGGCCTCTGCACTAACACACTAGCGGTCTCTTTGCATCGTGGATGAGCGAAGTCATCCGTGACATAATACACACGCACACACACACACGAGACAAATTCATGTCTAGGTGGAATTCGGATCTGCAACCCTTTGTATTGATAAGGTGAGTTAATTTGCGCCTTGAATACGTAGTCTCTCCAGTGTTGTTATATTATATGATACGATGTATTATGTTACGTGATACCAGAGTTACGTCATTATTTAGCTAAATGCATGAACATTCTTTACACATGTTTGGTTATTGCTTCAATTAATTTTTCAACGGGTGGCTTCAAATTTTAATGTGCATATAGAAAATTAAATATGAAGGAACACTCATAAAAAGAAATTTGCACATTCGCGATTTTAACAATGTTGAATTCGTACTCATGAAATCATTCAAGCAATTTTAGAAGAACACGTAATGGTTTTACATTGTGGAATGTGTGATTGCACAAGGAATGGTGGAAATGAGTAAGGTCTACAATAATTGGTGAACAAACATTCACTACTACAAACATGCTCACTCCTTCAAATCTTCAATAAGATAATGGCAAATAAGAACGCACACCCAAAATACAATTTCGCATGAGTAAAAGAATAAAAGTTTTACTTTAATTGCATTCTAAGTGAGAATGCTTTTGCAACACGCGAAGGTAAAGTGCCAATTCATATTTTTCAGTTTTCACTTAAGACATGCATTTTTAAGTAACAACGAATTAAACAAAAGTGTGATTACTATTTTTAATAATGAATAAGAATAAAGAACATAGTAATAAAAGTAAATGTAAATAAAAATTTAGATAGACAAGTTTATCAAACAAAAATTGGTATAATTATGTAGAGAAATTCACAAAATAAACAGAGTATTATATCAATTTTAAAAGAGACAATTATATTTTCCATTACAAATTAATGATTTCACTGGATACCCCCCACCCCCCAAAAAATGGGCCATAAACACTCCAGGTTGTTGTGATTAGTTTTACTTAAATAAAATGTAATGCACTAGATTTTGATTCACGTAGTGGCAGTGATAAATTCATACGCGACTTCACTTGAAAACGTATAGTTTCAACATTCTTACTGACTCCAATAGTAAGACCAGTGAATCCTTATGTAAATAAAGATGCAACTTCAGATACTCGTTTTCCGATTCTTCGCCGACATTAACGTAATTCTTCTGGAGAGGAATTGGACAGCAAATTAACACACGCCAGTGTTTACAGGATTGAACTGGAGGAGTAATTTGCAAACAATATAAAAGATGCGAAAAATGTTAAGCTCTGCCAGAGGGAACATGCGTAATATTTTTCAACGAAGTTGTGTCCCCCTTGACGTTTCTGCACGGCGTTCCCCAACTAATGACCCGCACGAGGAAGATCCGTCAGGTACAGGAGATTCGGATCTCACCCGGGAACCCCCGACCCGGAATAAAAAACATCACTCGAGCCGCGACCGTGCAAACCCACATCCCGCCGCACAACCAAGAGTTACCATCACCGGCAAATCCTACCCCGGCACAAAGCATGAGAACCGTCACCTCGGAGCACGGGACGCCGTACAAATCACCGCTCACCCACCCGGGTCGGCGGGGAGGTGAGCGGCCCATTAGCCTTGTTAAACGGGCCGGCCACCGCTGTTCACCCGGCGGGCCCGCGTCCCGGCGGGGGGGCCCGCGCGGGCCCCAAATTCCGGCTCCCCGGGGGCATGCGGCCACTGAAAGATTCATATATCGTAATTGGACCATCCTTCACCGCGCGGCAGGTAGCGCGCGCGTCGGCAGGGGGCCCCTCCGAGCGCGTATCTAGGCCTAAATCCGCCGGCTAAAAGCCGGGCCGTGTCCGGCACGGTTATCACCGCCGCGCCAGCTGGCCCCCGCGGGCCGGGTTTGCTCGCGGGCTCCACTCACCTGTAGACCCAACCACCGCCGCCGTCGTCGTCGTCACCGCCGCCCCCGCGCCGTCACTCCACCTCCACCGCCACCTCGCGACCTCACCGCCAGCGCCGCTGCTGCCATGCCTCGCCCGACGGAGCACTACAAAACAACTACCACAGCGGGCGCGCGGCCGCCACGGGAGCGTGCCCCCCCCCGCTCGCGGCGCCCCCTCCCGCGCGCCCCGCCGCCGCCGCCGACGGGGCGGGGCCTAGGGCGGCTGCGCGCTGATTGGGGCGCGCGCCCGGCCGCCGGTCGGCTGCCATGGCGCTTGCGGCCGCCGCCGCCGCCGCCACCGCCGCCGACGACGACGACGACACGGCTCCCGCTGCATCGATCCGCGTGGCAAAGCCTCCTCGCGGCCGACGCCCCAGCCGCGGAGCGATGCGATGCGCGGCTGTCGGCGATTCAGGAGGCCATGCCCTCCTCTCCCCCCGACCATTTTCTTTTGGATTTAGACACTCAGTTTTTTCAAAACAATTGAGAACTTCAATGGACGAACTGCTTAACCCAGGGAAAGCCCTTTTTCGTTCATTTCCACATCATTTTCCTTCGTAATTGTTCTCAATTCATTCAAAACAATTGAGGACTTCAATGACGAAATACATAACATGGGTTTAGCCATTTTCAGTTCCTTTCCACGCCATTTTCTTTTGTAATTGTTCTCAATTTATCCAAAACAATTTAGGACTTCAATGACAAACTGCGTATCATTGGTTAAGCCATTTTCCCGTTTATTTCCACATCATTTTCTTTTGTAATTGTTCTCAATATATTCAAAATAATTGACGACTTCATTGGACGAACTGCTTAGCCCGAGTTCAGCCGTTCTTCCGTTCCTTGGCTTTTGATCTTCACTAGACATCATGTAGATGAATTAGGCTATTTAAAGGAAAATCAACAGTGGTCGTAGTTAAAAATATATAGTTTTCCAAAAATTGTTCGGCTATAAATTCTGAATTCACGTCGGGAGCAAGAATAATTATTGGAGAGTTAAACGAAGACCACTTTCGTTTACCAACCACATAATGCGTAAATTCTAAGAATATTTTCGGGAACGTTTTTCTTTTTCCGTGAGGGTCCAATTTTCTTGATATAGATTTCTTGATTATCACTTTTCAACGTACGAAAATAAAAAGTGAGAGTCTGAATACCGACTAATTAAATCCCAGGCAATAAGAAACCATTATTTTTCCGGTGTGGACCATCAAACTGTCTAATTGGCCACGATCTCCCGCTCGCAATTATTCGCACACTGCATTTCATCCGTTTCGTCAGAGAGAAAAACATGACAACACATTATTAGACATTATAACTTATGAATCTTCGTAAAATCACACGCGCGACGCGAGGGGAGTGTTTGAACCTGTTTAAGCAGGCCACGAAAATGCATCAAATGTTCCATAAAAAGTTATTTTTCTTGCTGCAAAATGAGGAAAAATTAATAGCGTCAGACAGCTCGTCAAACTGGCGATGTATTCAAGATATAATTCACGTTGTGAATAATTTTTTTAGTTCCCAACTATTTTTTTTATTCAATATTTTATAACTTGAAAAATATTTTGTGGATGCCGATTTGGAATTGGCCCCAACTCTAGAAATACAAGTGTTGTCTGAACGCAGACTTAGCTATGCTTACAGCTGTGATCCGTTTTGAATACAGAAATGCTTAGGTCCTTTTCTAATTTCAATCGTTTTCCTATTTTAATATTTACATTTTTGATTTGGCGCAGAACTTGAAACCTCAACCCCCGACGGAAAAGATAATTAACCCGCTTTCAGGTTTTCAAAAGTTTCGATTTCTTGTCAACCCCTCAGAGCCATGACTCTTAGCGTGAGATTTCAGGGATCAGACTTTAATTTTATGCAGAAACAAAGACAATAATATAGGTATATTTTTCACATGTTCATAGTTGTTTAATGTAAAAAGATTATTTGTTCCGTAGCAAAAAACACAAACCAGGCATTTTTAAGGATGATTTTAGATTCCACTGCATAACCATTATTTTGGTGAATAAAACTTGTTTTATTTATTTCCTTGGAGAATGCATGAAATGTACATTGAAGTATTTAACAGAAACG